GATTTTTAACTACAATTGAGAGCAATTTAACAAATGTACTAATCAATTCTCTCTCTCTCTCTCTCTCTCTCAACATTACCATATTGATAAACATTTAATTAATATTCAATTACCCGCCATATTTGATACAAAAAATTAAATAAACAAAAACTATAAATCAAACAAAACTGTAAGTTAATTCACATTTATACTAAATTTAAATTAAACTAATGTACGTATTTGCATCTAGCCACAACAACGGAAACATTATATTATTTTTGCAATGATTTCATCGCGATTAATCATTGGTAGCCTGGTAATGTTGATTACAGTAAAGGCAGCACATTTTGACTATGTCACCAACTTGTTTGCAGATTTTGACTATGAACCAGATGATCAAATGCTCCAAGCGTACATACCTGTTAGCGTAACATGTAAAAAACATGATAAAAAATGCGAGGGGTATAACTCGAACGAGCGCAAATGGAAATGCGGCCCCGACCGAGATGAAAAGAATAGAACGATTTGTACTCAAGTCTAATCCTAGGCTTAGGGCTGAGATATTACGGTCACTGAATACTTTGTTAATTATGTTTTTTAATTATTAATATAAATAAAAGTATTTATTACTGTAATCTTAATTTACATATTTATTTTATTTGCAGTCTTATTTAATTAGGGCGTAATAACAATTAATTATTACAAATAATCAAAACAAAATTGTGTAAGTTATACAGTATAATAGAATACTTAACATTAATTAATAAAAAATATTTTACTTTTATTAAAATAAACAATTTGTAAATTGCCTTATTTATTAATCTCTTTTAGCATGACCTCTTCAAGCGCTGCAATATCTTTAACTAGAGCGTTATTACTTGCCACTTTACTCACCAACGACTCTATCATAGTATCCAGCTCATTTTGTTTACCACGTAAAGCCTGCGCCTTTGTTTGCCTGCCGGTGCCCATAAGCTTTTGGATAGCGCTGTCAACCCTGACTTCCAGCGCATCCGTACGGCGCGAAAACTCTACATTTGCCCCACAATTGGGGTACGGATTAAGTGTCGGGACCGGTGTTGGCACAGGTGTTGGCACATGGGTTGGGGCATGAGTTGAGACATGAGTTGGGACATGTGTTGTGGCCAGACTTGTAGGCTCAGGTGCTGGTGTGGTACGTGAGTCGAGTATTTTATCCACCCTGATCAATTCGGCCTCTACACGTTGCTCTAGATCAAATAGGCGTACGGCCAGCCGTTGCATTCTGTCAAGACGTAAGGGTAGGTGCAGTTCGGTAACAACCACCCGGAGCTCAACATCCATACGGTCCAGCCGTACCATTTCGGGCGCGTCTACGAGTTGGGTCAGTCGTGTTAGATCGTACTCCACTCTGCGCTCTAGTTTGTCTGCCCTAGATATTAGCTCTTCCCGTGTTATTGCATCAGAAATTGCAGCTAGGTGATTATTTTACAAATTAGTTTATTAATGTAATTTGGTAACTTTCCAATTTCTAAACGTTAGTATTTAGTAATAGTTTTTTAATGTGGAAAATTATTATATACTTACCGAAAGTAGTTAACATAAACAATGATTTTAATAGCATGTTTATTGTTTTATAATATATGGTACTTCAATTAATTTAATTAAAATAAATTATTAATTAAATATAATGTTGAGCATTCCAATCAGACGTATAATCATTTAGTGATAAAATCAATTTTATACTTTTTATGTGAATTGTAAAACATGTTTAAACATTATGATAAATTTGTCAATTTATTTTATATAATACATTAAATAAAA